TGGAGCTTCGTGATTGTGGATATGATTGGACGTCAGCGTTTTCCAGTGATTTTTGATTTCCCTTAAACCCATCCCTAACCCTCAAGGCTCGAAGGTTCGGCTCAAGGCGTGAGAACACGCACAAATCCCACGCGCACCCGGCGCATCGACTTTGGCCTGGCCCATTGGTCAATCATTGCGACGGCTGTCAAGCAGTTCGAGCGCCCGAACATTTCGGACCACGGGTGCGTCTTCTACGAAACGCGGTGCCTGAGCCGTGCCGACAGCTTCTCCATGCCTAAGTTTCGTGAGCTCCCTGCCACGGCCACTGAAGACATCCTGTCTAACTTTGGTAGGGTCTGGGATGCCGCACACTTTGAGAGTTCTATTGCAGGTGGGGCTCTTGATGAAGCCTGGGCCTTCTTGTCAGACGTGGCCGAGCGCACGCTGGGTGCCACTTCGCTCTTCGATGCCTCCGGTGCCCGCAGGAGCGACCACTGGCTCCCTTGTGCCCGCCACGAGTCCCACCATCGTGTCGGCCCCCAGGGTCATGAGTCCCAGTCCCTCCGTTCATCTCGCAAGTTGCTTGGGCAATTGCACCAACTGCGGCAACAGCCCCACTGTCAGAAGCTGTGGCGTGCGGTGGGCCGCCGGGCTGGGCTCCTGCGTGCCACTTTTCCCGACCTTCCCGTGATACATGCTGCCAACCTTGCAGGTGCCACCCAGGTGATCTCTCATTTGCATGCCGAGCTTCAGCAGCAGGAGACGGAGGCCAGAGTGCACAGGTGGCGTCGCCGTGTTGAGGAGGATCCTTCTCGTGCCCTCGCCTGGGTCAAGCGCAAAGCTGACCATCAGTTGGCCATGGAGCAATCTCCTCAGGCCCCTGCTGGTGTCCCTTCCTCTGTTCACCCTGCCTCTATTGTCGAGGAGCATGGTAAAGTGTGGCTGCAGCACTGGAAGCCGGAGTCCCCTGTCAACTTCGATGCCGTGCAGCGCATCCTTGACCGTGTCCCGGGAGGGCCGCAATCGGACATTGTGCTCCAGGTCGAGGCTGAGGCTCTGATGCGGGCCACCAAGGCAATGCGGGGGAAAGCGATGGGCCCTGACCGATGGTCAGCGGAGCTTCTGCTCCGCCTCCCAGTGCAGTGGTGGGAAGCGGCGGCCACTCTGTGGAATGCGGTGCTCTCCACGAAGTACGTCCCTCGACTCTGGCGCCGGGCACTGATTGCCCTGGTGCCGAAGCGCCTGGATGAATACCGACCGATCGCCTTGTGCCCTGTCATCTGGCGAGCTGGTGCCCACTGCATCTCTCGCAATGTGCTGCCGTGGATGGACACATGGCTGGGCCACCACACTTTGGGCGGTGCACCATGTCGAGGCCCGGGCGACGCTCATGCCCGGCTCTTTCATGCGTGGCAGAGCGGTGGCAAAGTCTTTTGCCAGCAGGACCTCACGCGGTTCTTCGACTCTCTTGATGTCAAGGCGGTGGGTATGGTGCTCCGGCACCTTGGTGCTCCTGTTGGCCTCGCTGAACTCTTAGCCTCCTTCTACCAGGATGCCTCGAGGCTCTTTCTGCACGAGGGCCGGTCCAGCAGTGCATGGGGCAGCCCGGCGTGGGGCCTGGCGCAGGGATGCCCACTCTCTCCAATGGCCGCGGTCGCGGTCGGCCATATCTGGGCCATGTGGGTCCAGTCCTTTGCCAAGGGACGTACCGACTGCCTCATCTTTATAGACGACCGGGTGTTGCGGCCTTCCTGCACGTGTGCGGACCCTCTTGGGGCAATGGATGTGGCATTGAGGGCTTCTGACTTCTTCGACCAAGCCTTCGGTTTCCAGTGCCGTGCCAGCAAGTGTGCTGTGGTGTGTCCACCCGATGTCGGGACTTTCGATCAGTGGGCCAGTGCCAGGAGCTACCCACGCGTGACTACTTTAAAGGTGCTGGGCATCACCCTCGACATGCAGGAGGGTGCCCTGGGGCTCCTTAAGTTTAGCCCGCGCTTGCTCCTGCATCGCCTTCGCTTCCTCAAGCTCCTGGGAGGGGAGGTGCCCCAGCTCCGTCGCATCGTGCTGCAGCTGGTCCACTCGGCCGTGTTTTGGGCTGGTGGTGTCGCCTGCCCGGACCGCGACTGCTTGCGCGACGTCTGGCACTCCACTTGTGCTGTCCTGCAAAAGCACGCCACCTCCGAGTCTCCTAAAGTCTTGCTGTGTGCCTCTTTTGGCTGGATGTTGGACCCTGAATGGGCTGGGCTTGATGTTGCTTGTGGTGACTGGCGTCGCTTCCTCCCTGGCGCGGCGGCGGTTGTGCAGAGGTTAGGCTGGCAGGTCCATGGCAACGACGATTCCGGTACCCTCCGTCAGTGCCACCTTGGCTGGGAATCCTTTGATGTGGTCAAGCGCTGGCTGGTGGACCACTACAAGTGGCGGGGCGTGCACGCCTGTGGGCGGATCCGAAATTGCCGCCATCGTGATGATGCGACCCTGGCCCGTGGCCTCAGCTTGGGGGCCCCGCTCCGCAGTGCCCGCTTTGCGCTCGAAGGCCACCGACTCGCAGTTGCGGCTGAGCCTACCCGTGAAGTTCGCCTTGCAGCACTGGGCTCGGGCGGCTCCATTTGGTACCACTGCAAACGGCTGGAGATGAGCTCACCCGACACCACGGCGTGTGTTTGTGGCCTCTTGCAGCCCAGCCGAGCGCATCTCACCTGGTGTTGCTCCTCAACGACGGGATTGCGGCAAGGCCTCGCACCTCCTTCCACCCGTGCTGGTGAACGGCTCTTTGCAGCCGAAATCCCTGAGTACCCTGCAGCTCCTGCAGCTTCGGACTTTGAAAACACCCTTCAGAGCATTGTGGCGCATCTTCGCAACTTCGCTACTGTGGGCGAGCGTCTGCTCATCGCGACCGATGGCAGTGCTAAGTTTGACGTCGGCGGCTGCGCCGTGATCTTCGGAAGCGGCGATGGCACCTTCGTCTTCGGTGATGCCTGTGAAGACCAGTCGGCTTTCCGATGTGAGCTCCTCACCTTGACGACCCTCTTCGAGGCGATCTCTCGTGCGCAGTTGGCTCCAGGCTGTCAGGTTGGCATCCTGGTGGATTGCAGCTCTGCCCTTCAGGCTGTGGCTCAACCTGGGGCGTGCTCCATGCCTCTCCTGGCTCACAAGGCTGCGAGGCTACTGCGTGATGTGCGTGCCGGTGGCTTGGACCTGAAGCTTTCGTGGACTCCTGCACATGGCCGGCGGCCCACCTGGACTGCTCCCTGGGGTCTGACTGCCGCCCGCTGCAGGCACCTCAATGATCGGGCCGATGCGGCCGCAAACAGCATTCGCGAACAACGAGCTCGCGGCTCGTGCAGGGTGAGCTGGCATGCTGAGCTACATCGTGCCGCGATCTGGGAGCGCGGGGCCATCTTGGCTTCGGCTGGTGCTTCCAACGTGCTGGCGCAGCACCTCTGTGCAAGGCGGCCGGCCCGTGTCATTCAAGATGATCCGTGAAACTCGCCACGACACTGAACATTTGCATCGTTGACGGCTTCTACGGTGGCTCCCTCGGGGAACTACGTGCTGCACTGCTTCCTCTGGCTGCCGTCGCTGGCTTCTGGCTGCGGTGGCGTGCTGCGGGGCGTGGGCTGCTGGCTGAGGCGCGCTGCTGTGTCCCTCTGAGTTCCTACGTCGAGTCCATCTGAAGCCGTAGAGGGGTACAGCTGCTCCGCACGTCACTTCGATGCTGCTTAGGCTCTCGCTAGGCAGTTTGTGCTTGCTGTGTAGCCCTGCACCTCTCCTTTTAGCAAACCCGAGCCAAAGGCTCACGTTCTTCTCGGCTCTCCTGAGCCTTAGCTTTCACGCATCGGCTAATTACGCCTCTGCGACTCTAGTTTGTTTGGTCTTTCATGCCTCAGCTTCAAGCACCTTGGATTGTACAGCTGTCACACGTCCTCTGCTTGTGAGCTCCATGCTTGACCTCTTAGGTTCGGTTTCACAACCGACAACCAAAGACGTTTCTGGACGCAGCTCGGGACTTCTTTGCGATGCCCGAGTTTTGCCGGCACCGCAGTTAGGCGTGAGAACACGCTGCTTGGGTCCTACCAAAAGTGTGTTCGTGAGCCTTGAGGGGGGGTGCGGGGAAAAAACGTACCATCTCTGGATGCTTCACCTTTATGCGGACATGTGCATGAAGTTTTCACTTTGAGCCAATGATTTTCAGTTGAACAATGCAGTGCTGCTTGATCGGTTGTACAGTGTCAATGATCGGTTGTACAGTGTGAATGAGATCACGACTGCAGAGTCACGACTCAAGTTGTTTTGTGACCCACCCTCCCACACCGGGGGTCTCGAGGCAACTGCGACCGTCATGTGAACATGTGGCGCATCGCTTCGAGGTACAGGCATCAGTTCGAGGCACCGATTGAAAACATCTGGCATCTTCGCCCGCCTCACTTCTGAAGCGCAGTGATTGGAGATTGAACGATTGCTGATTCCGCTCGTCTTCACTTGAGCTTTAGCTTGGAGCTTCGTGATTGTGGATATGATTGGACGTCAGCGTTTTCCAGTGATTTTTGATTTCCCTTAAACCCATCCCTAACCCTCAAGGCTCGAAGGTTCGGCTCAAGGCGTGTTCTCGGGTAAATTTAAGGATGAAGTAGGTGGAAAAATAATAACACACTTTATAGGATTAAAGCCTAAAAGTTATTCGTTCAAAGTTTATAAACAAGACAAAGAAAAGAAATCAAAAGGTATTGTTAAGCATAAAGTAAAGAAAGAATTAAAGTTCCGGTCCCGGAGGGACGATGCTCTTATTTCCGTGTGTTGATGAATTTTCTCTTGGAAAATTCAAGCGTGGCCTCTTTGCAAATTTATGCTTCAGCTTTCAACACATGTCATTTGCCTTGTGCTTGAACAGAAGGATCCCTCGACCATCCGATGGCCTCTGCTCGAGATGGGAGGGATGTGGAGGTAGAAGCTTTTCTCTGGCCCATGAAATTTTGGGTCGGGGGGAGTTGTAGGTGGGTCTCCTTTCGAGCCTTAGAATTATGGCAGGCCAGGAGCCTCTTTCTTTTGAAGAGGAGTATCAGCCTTCCGAGTTCGCTCTGAGTGAGCCCATTGATCGAGAGCCCGAGGACTCTTGGGACGTGTGCAGTGTCCCTTCAGGTGATCTTGTCACGAACCTTGCAAAGGAAACACCTTCTTCAAGCCTTGGACCGAAGGGAGAACCCGCGCCTGCCACAACACCTCAACAGAGGGCGGTGGCCTTGGGAGCTTCTCTCTTGTCGCTTGGGGATCCGGTTCCATCCTTTGCCTGGGAGTCTGGGTTTTGGGAAAGTTTCTTCAACGACAAGCCCGCAGTAGACAGGATGGTCCCGGCGCTCAAATTTCACAGACCATCTTTCGCAGGTTCGATAGAAGAGCCGACGCCACCACAGGCCGAGGTCCAGGCTTCTGCTAAGAGGCCCCGCAAGGAGGGCCCTTCGTCTTTCTTGGAAGTTGTCAAAAACAGGAGTGTGATCTCTTGGAGGGACAAACGTGAAGCAGAGCATCGCAGAGCATTGTGCAAGTGGTCGTGCATCTTTGACAAACTTGATTTTGAGTCAGACCCTGTCATTAAAACCATAGCTTCTTTGCCCGAGACGGAGAAGCTCAACACGCTTGACGATTACATGGCAAGAAAGGCTCCTAGCACTTTGACAAAAAGGGCTAACTCGATTTTGAAAATTATCAAGGTCGGCGAAGCCAAAGGGTTGAGGTTCCCAGTGAGTGAGCCGCAGCTTTACGAGCTTCTGCAAGAGGCAAAGACGGGTGGAGCTCTCCCGTCTCAGCTCAGAGGGGTCATGGAAGGGCTACTCTTCGCTCGACATGTGTTCGATATTGCGGCGTTCAGCCAAATAGCGATTAGCAGGCGCTGCTGGGGAGTTGGGGCCTCTCGCATTGCAAGGACTCCTTCAAAGGCCGCGCCACTGAGAGTGATCGACCTGGTGGCATTGCATCAGGTCCTTGATTCGAGGTCTAACCCATGGGACCGCCTCTTCGCCGGCTGTGCACTGTTTTGTGTGTACTCACGATCCAGATGGAGTGATGCACAGCACGTTGATTCCTTCAGTTTTGACAAAGGTCCTGACAGTCTGAAGGTTTACTATCTTGAGGCAGTCATAGACATCCACAAGAACATGAACCGGCGCGGGAGGAGCCCAGTGCCTCTCGAGCTTGTTGCGCCGGGCTTGGGGGTGTCCTCAGAGGGTTGGATTGAGAAATTCCTTGACGCAAGAACCGCTTTGGGCCTGTCTGCCGAACATGCCTTCATGCCTGCTCCTGATGCCAGTGGAGCCCCGACCATTAGGGCATTAGATTCTGATGAGTGTGGGGAGTGGTTGCTCAGACTCCTGCCAGACAGGCAGGGCCTTAAGACAACGTCGCACAGCCTTAAAAGGACCATGCTCAGCTACTGCGCCAAATGGGGAATTAGCCACGACGATCGCTTGGCGATGGGAGGTCATAGCCACCCAGGACGCATGAGTGATGAGTACGCAGATGACGCAATGGCTAGGCCTTTGAGACTCATTGAGATGGTGATCAAAGCGATCCGATCAGGTCGGTTTCATCCAGACTCCACCAGGGCTGGACGTTTCGAGGGAGGAGAGCCCACTTCTGATCCTGCCGCTCCTCTTCAGGAAGAGCCTGAGCGGGTGCCGCCCGCGAGTCTCGTCACGCACGAAGCTCAGACCAGTGATATAGATCGGATGTTGGAACACAGTTCGAGTGATGAGCACAGTCTTGGTGCTGCACCGTCGTTGCCGGGCACCGAGAACAAGCCACTCCCGAAGCAATCACTTGTAGAAGACGAAAGGCCTGAAGCCGAAGAGGCTGGAAGTGGGCTCCCGACAGACAGTTCATCCTCAGACTCATCCAGCTCGAACTCGAGCGCCAGCGCGCCGGAGCCCTCAGTGCGGCCGGTTCGACTTTTGCCTCCGCCAGTGCCTGCAGACGGCTGCAGGTTTGTTCAGCATGCTAGGTTCAAGACTTTGCATCTGCAGAGGTTGCGACATGTCAACATGACCTTGTGTGGTAGACTCGTGAAGTCCCCGATCGGAGAACCGGGAATTTTGAGATACGACACCCCGGTTTGTCGGGCGTGCAAGAAAGTAGCAGCTGCAGACTGATGCTCATGTGCAAGCGGTAACCGCTTCCCCAAGGGGGCGGAAATCCGCTTGGGTTCTATGCTGTGTTCGCGCAACCAGCATAGAAAGAGCCGTGCGAACTGTTTGATCAGACTCATGCTTGATTGTTCTGCTGAGATCTTGAGACTAACACGGAAAGCGCGCAGAGACTTTTGGATTGTGTTGAGTGTGGAATCTCAGGAGTTCAGTTGCAATTCCAACACAGCATGGAAAGCGAGGCGCGAGTTACGTTGCTAGGAGAGAGGATACATTCGTCTGGTCAGTTGTGCAATTTGGCCCGAAACCCTCAGCAACCTTCTGCCGAGAGGAAGCCATGGCTCTTGTGGATTCACACGCCTCCTTCCGGAGCAGATGCGTGGAGATGTGCGGGGGAGACGGGATGTACCGGAAGCTCGCGGGGAAGGAGATCAAATCCTTCTCAGACCTGGCCTTCGCGTGCGGAACCCCGCAGGCCCCTCCGAGTGTCGACGAGTTCCGGGCGTTCAGTGAGGAGATCCTGGGCCTTGGAGCTAGCTTGGGCGAAACTTCGAAGCTAACTCGCTTGCACTTCGAAGCGGCGACATACGTCATCGCTCAGTTGAAGCAACAGGTGGTAGGTGACACCACCGATGAGCCCAAGCGCCTTCCCTTGGCGGAAAAAGAAGCTCGTTACAGAGAACAGCGGCTACGACTTTCAGGATTGGTGATCCAGGACGAGCTGCTTCCATCGCATGCCCTGGTGGATGCTGTGGCCCACATGTCCGAGACCAACTGCTTGACCTGGTTGTCTCCCAGCAAGTGTACGAAGCGTGATCAAGAGTTGAAGATTGGGCCTAAAGAAAAGTCCAGGATCCTGACCGTGCTGGATAACTCAGTGACCGTCACGGCCCAGCCAGACAAGCTCATCGCAGATCACAGCACACCGCTCCAGCTGCAATGGTGCTTGCAGCGACGTGGCCTGGCCTTCGACATGAATCGCATTATCTCCTGGGAGACTCATGAGAAATGGGTTTGCTACTTGCTGCAGTGCTTGACCTCTGACTCCATCCCAGGATACAGCCATGTCACTGTCGCCCAGGTCGTTAAAGCCGATTCTGAGATGTTCCTGTTGATGTCCAAGGAAATCAAGAACGTCAAGGCAAGCGCAACAGGTGAGATGGAAGCAGACACTCTGTTAGATCGCTTGAGAACGGACCCACGAATCACGATGCATTTGCTTCCATTGCCCAAAGCCCTCAGCAGCCTTGCGACTGATGCGGTCATCGATGGATCTCTTGATGGGGATAAGAACCCCAGGAAAAAGCCGCGCCGTGAGCGCCGCACATCCGCACTCTCAGCCGCGGTGAAGGTGGACAACATGCCCAAAGAGCTCAAAGACTGCAAGTTCTATACTGATCAGTCGGGCCGCCGGCTTTGCTGGACCCACAATACCGGGACTTGTAATGCTGCAACGGATGGAGGACACCCGCCAGCATGCAAGCGCGGAGTGCACGCCTGCATGGGATGCCGGAAAGTTGGCCACGGATGGTCAGCCTGCTGGTTTAACAAAGCCAACAGCAAAGGCAAAGGCGGGAAAGGCGGAGGAAAAGGATCCGGGAAGGCTGACGGGAAGGCCGACAAAGAGTGACTAGCCTCCCGTAACCTCTCCGATAGAACAGTGCATGCTCAAGCCAGAAGTCGCTCTCCCAAGAGAGTCCGTGCTTCCGGCCACAAATCGAATTCAGATCGGACTGAGACTCCTTGCTATGACCCGCCACACTTCTTTGGATATCGTGAGCCCCAAGATCAAATCTTGTTGAGCTCTGAAGTGCGCGAAGAGCCGGCTTTGCAGCATCGTGATTCTTCCGAGTGCTCGGCCCAAACCTTCGCTGCCGATCCTGCTCATGACCATTTCGAGGTGAGCCGCTTGCAATTTTTCTTCACTCCGCATCACGTGTCAGATCACGGCCAACACCCGGCTGAAGAGTTCGCGAGAAGTTGTCTTCAGCAAGGCTCAGGCGACTCTTCGTCCTGGATGGAACTCGCGGAGCTTTTGCCCGACGAGGAATCCTCCCGTGAGACGGCACAAGACCCACTTGAGAAGTGTTTCATCACCGGTGCTTACAACCAAGGCGGGATCACCGGAGTGCGACGTAACTGCCGACAGTTCCCAGCCTGCACCCGTCTGCTGGTTACCCTAGCTAGGATAGCCTTCCCCGGTTTGACATTTACATCTGTTGGCCTTTTCCGCAACATGCAGACTGCTCTGCATAAAGACGCCAACAACTTGCCAAGATCTCGCAACGGGATCTGCGCCCTCAGCTTTTTCGAAGGAGGTCAGTTGCGCCTTCACCGCGCCGATGGGCCAGTGAACTTGTCACTCAGCGAAGGACCGCTTCAGTTCGACCCCTTTCTCGAGCACGAGACACTGCCTTGGTCTAATGGTTCTAGGATAGTCTTGGTTGCCTTTTCGGTGAACTGCCTTGAGCGCCTCACGCCGGAGCATCGAGCAGTGCTTGCTGCATTCGACTTTCGTCTGCCGCTTTCTAAGGACCAGTCTGAGGTCGCATCGCAGGTTTCCCAGGCCGACTCTCGGCCGGCTTCGCAATTACCTCAGACCGATGAAGAGGCTGGCATGTTCCTTGAGTTGTTCGCCGGCACCGCCCGATTGAGTCAGGCATTCACGCGCTTAGGTTTCCAAGCTCTGGCTTTTGATAAGGTCTGCAGGTCCAGCCATCCCGTTCAGGCGCTCGATTTCGCTGATCGGTCTGAATGCGAGGTCGTGCTGCAACTAATCCAGGACCATGCCTCTTCCTTGCAGTATGTGCACCTGGCTCCACCTCAGGAGACCTGCTTGGCTGCCCGAAACAAAGAATCTGCGACTAACCCGGCCCCTCCGGCCCGGTCAGCCGCGCAGCCCTTAGGTTTGGAAGGATTGCCAGAGTCGTTGCAAAGGCAAGTCACTGAAGCCAACGACCTTTACATGTTCAGTCATGATGTGTTCATGCTGTGTCGGAAGTTCAATATTGTAGTCAGTGTGGAGGCTCCCGCCTCCTCTCTCTTTTGGCTTCTACCAATGATTCAGGACCTCTTGTCCTGTGCCGATAATCAGGTCGTGGATTTTCACGAGTGCATGCATGGCGGTGATCGAGATCGAAAGCTGCGCTGGCTTTGCTCGGCTCCATGGTTCAAGCCCTTGGGGCTCTCGTGTAACCGCATGCACCCGCATGCGCCCTGGAACGCAGCTTCCGATACAGGAACCAAAGGTGCATATCCACCTCTCTTGTGCGCTAGAATCGCCGAGTTGGTTGCTTCTCAGGTCTGCAGTCTTCCTGCTGCCCCATCTTTGTTCGGGCCGGCCAGCTCCGTCACACGGCTGGCTTATGAGAAACAACCCCGTAAGCACCGGGCCTTAGTCAGTGAGTTCGGCGCTTATGATGCTTGGGCTGTGCCGCTGGGCTTCACTGCCTGTCCGCCCGCCTTGCTGAAAGCGTACCCTAAAGGTGCTCGTGCTGTTCGTCGCAAGCTTTTGCATTGGGGTCAGATAAGGGCTTGCGTTCTCCCTAGCCTTGATTTCGCTTTGCTTGAATCTAATTTGGGATCCAACTGGAAATGGAGTATGGACTCGCATGCTCCCCCTCTCGAAGAAGAGGACCAGCCCATTTGCAAAGTTTGTGGATTCATGAGTGACTCGACCTTTGAAGATTTGTGCGAGGTACTCTGGATAGGCATTCCCCGCTCTCCGTCAGACTTCGTGCAGCAAGCAGTGTTGGCGGGCCACCCAAAAAGGATACTTGAGAATCAGATCGACGAGCGAACCAAGCTCCTTGTAGATAACCTTTTGACCGGACGCGCAGCCTGCGAGGACCTGGGGAAATCGCGACTAGCAGAGTGGAACGAAATCGCTAAGGAACTCGAGCCTGTGGAGGAACAGGCTCAGAAATCACTGGATCCTTTAGTGAGCAAAATCATCGACGGGAAGAAAACCTTCCTACTCGAAAGGTTGCTTGCCGACTCATCTTTTCCAGACAAGTCCTTAGTCCCCGACCTTAGGAAGGGTTTTCCGCTGACCGGATGGATGCCTAGAACTGGGTTGTTCGTTGGCGAACCTCGCCCCCCTAAGACCAGCCTTGACAAACAGCTTAGATGTGCTTCAGCCAGGAATGCCGCTACGCTGGCCAGAGTCTCTTCTCAGCCTGTTGATGCTGTCGCTGAAAAGGCCTGGTCCGAAACGCTCGAGGAACAGCAGAAAGGCTGGCTGTTTGAGGACCCAGCTCCGGACCTTTCGTCTGTCTTAGTGGCCCGAAGGTTCGGTATCATCCAAGGCGCCAAGACCAGAGTGATAGATGACGGGAAGGCAGCCGGGATCAATCAGACCGTTGGGTTGCCCGAACGTTTCAGGCTACACAGCATCGATTTCATCTCGGCCTTCCTTGTCTGGGCCATGATGGACCCACGGGCCAAAGGGAAACAGGTGTCGGGAAAAACCATTGATTTAAAATGGGCATACAAACAGTACGCTGTCAATCCCTCTGATCGGGAAATCTTCCGAATCGTTGTACTTGATACGTGTTCGAGGAAACCCAAATTCTTCGGAGCGGCAGCACTCCCCTTCGGAACGACGGGATCCGTGGCAGGATTCCTGAGAACGTCTGCTGCCACGTGGCATATCGGCTCAGCCCTGCTGGGCCTCTCCTGGTGCAATTATTTTGACGACTTTCCTCTTTTCAGTTTGGACGAGCACTGTCCTTGTGCCGAATCTTGTGCGGAGGCCCTGCTAGACATCCTCGGAATAACTTTCGCAAAGGAAGGGAAGAAAGCCACCGAGTTCTCCAAGCAATGTCGGGCCCTTGGCCTGATTATTGATCTGAGTGAATTCGGAAATGGAGTCGTGTACATCAAGCACACGCCAGAGCGCATTCAGGAATTGAGGCAGACCCTCACACGTATTCTTGAATCCGGCTTGCTTGAGTCGTCGGAAGCCGAAGCCCTTCGAGGCAGACTCCATTGGTTCAGCTCTTTCCTTTTCGGCCGCCGGCCCTGCCAAGCCTTGAGAGTCTTAGGTCTTAGGGCTAAAGGTTTGGATAGAGGTAGGAAGCTGAGCAGTGACCTTCGTGATGCTCTCACGTACCTGCGTGATCGAGCTCTGGAGTCGCCACCTGTGCAGCTCACGCCTGACATCAAAGAAACCTTTTACGTCTTCACTGACGGAAGCCTCGAGGGAGAAGTAGCCGGCGTGGGCGGCATTTTGTACGACCCACTCGGTAAACCTCTTTCTTTCTTTGCAGCCAGCCTTCCACTTGATGCTCTGAACAGACTCAAGGAAACTTCGAGCCACCCAATCTACGAGATTGAGTTGCTGGCCATCTGGGCCGCTTTAAAGCTGTGGATGAACCGACTTACCCGTTGCCTAGTAGTGGTTTACCTTGACAACGAAGCTGCGAAGGGAGCCTTGGTATCAGGGAAGTCGTCGACCCTTCCTGGTCAGTCCATAGTGAGTTCGGTTCTCGACTTAGAGGACTCAGCAAGGATCCGTCCGTGGTATGGCCGAGTGCCAACCAGCTCTAATCCAGCAGACGAGCCCAGTCGAAGTGTCTTCGGTCATTTACTGAGGGAAGGAGTGCAAAGGCTTCAAGCTCCGTGCGCTTGGCCGGTTTGATGCATCTGCTTACCGAGCTCGCTCTCAGATGGGGTGTGGCAGGGCGAGCAAGGTGTAAACAAACTCGAGACTTACTGCACCCCTTTGCCCTCTCGAGAGAAAACGAAGACGCTGTCCGAGTGTGTAGCATTGCTTTGAAGTTTTCGCATGTGCTGAACAACAGTCAAGTTTAGGAGATTCTCACGCGGTCAACACTAAGGAAATAAAGTTCCGGTCCCGGAGGGACGATGCTCTTATTTCCGTGTGTTGATGAATTTTCTCTTGGAAAATTCAAGCGTGGCCTCTTTGCAAATTTATGCTTCAGCTTTCAACACATGTCATTTGCCTTGTGCTTGAACAGAAGGATCCCTCGACCATCCGATGGCCTCTGCTCGAGATGGGAGGGATGTGGAGGTAGAAGCTTTTCTCTGGCCCATGAAATTTTGGCCCGCCCTCCCTCGCCTTTGCTGAAGTACCATCTTTGTCTTGCCTAACCCTGCCGCTTGTGGCAGGGCGAGCAAGGTGTAAACAAACTCGAGACTTACTGCACCCCTTTGCCCTCTCGAGAGAAAACGAAGACGCTGTCCGAGTGTGTAGCATTGCTTTGAAGTTTTCGCATGTGCTGAACAACAGTCAAGTTTAGGAGATTCTCACGCGGTCAACACTAAGGAAATAAATTTTGTTAAATATTTAGAAATATTGAATAATAATGAATGTGATACTGTAACTTTTAACAGTATAAGAAGCAAACAACATCAAATATATTCTATAAAACAGACTAAACAAGCTTTATCAAGTTATGATAATAAACGTTATTATTTAGATAGTGTAAGAAGCCTACCTTATGGGCACTTTAGAATAAAAGATATTTAAAGGATTAATTTTAGTAGAGATACTATTAAAATAAATCAAAAATATTTGTCGTTTTCTTTCTTTATCTTATAATACTCAAGAGTGCTACTTTTAGGATATAAGATTTCATTATTGTTCAACTTAGCCAGATAAGTATTTCTTTTAATGAAACATCTTTATCAGGTGATGGTTTATTGTATACTTTTGTTTTTTCTATTAATCTGTCTTCTATCTCTCCTAATTTATGATAAATTTGTTGCATGCCTTTTACAAGTTCTTCTCTTAAACATACCATGTTCAAATCTACTTTTTGTTCCATATAAAAGTTTTTCGACTAAAACTTTTATATTAAATTTTTATGTATTATTTTAATTTTCAATTTTTTATATCTTTTGTCAGCATCTCTTATGGATGCTTCTATCGTTGGTTTATTCCATAATATATTTTTTGCCCACATACCAGCAGTTTCGTAATCCTTCCAGTCTTGATTAACTTTATGTCTCGCTATATATCTGTCTTTTCTTTCTTCATCCTTATGTTTTGTAAAGTCGCTGTAACCCTTAGAACCAAATGAAATAGTTTTAGTATTTCCTTTTTATCTGTTATAACAGCATCGTATTTTTTACCTTTAGAACTAGATTTTTGTATAACAACTTCAGCCATATTATTAATATTCAGAAAAATATTAATAATATTTTTTTTTAAACTTGCTACTATAGGGGTTCTCTTCTCCATAACAAACGAATTCTTTAATTCGTGTTGTAATGTCTTACTCTGTTATACACTTATGGTATTTGTAAGTTTTTACAACAATTTAGAATTTAGAATTATTAAGGGAACGCAGTCGGGGGAATTTTTTAGGATGATATTACTCGTAATATTATCAGTAAAAAGTAGAAATTAATTTCTAAATATTATTAATGAATACTCCACTAGTAAAGCCTATTAATGTTAAAGAATATGAATTCAAGCAATCTAAATACGAAGTAGCACCGAGACTACCTTTTAGTCAAATAATTGTAGGTCCTAGCGGTTCCGGTAAGGGTATATTATTACAAGCAATGATATTAGATATTTATCGTGATGTGTTTGTTAGAATATACATTTGGTCACCTTCAATTTCAGTTGACAGTAATTGGACACCAGTTAAAAAATATATTCAAGATAATTTAAAGGTTGATTTAGAAAAGGAGAAATGTTTATTTGATGATTACATACCAGAAGAACTAGAAGCTGTAATAAATAGACAACACAAGGTAATAGAATATCAAAAAAAGAATGACCATAATAAACTACATTCAATACTGATAATTGTTGATGATTTTGCAGACAGTAAAGCTTTTTCAAGAAACCCACCTTTATTAAATCAGTTGTATGTTCGTGGTCGTCACAATGCTATATATATATATATATATTATAACAAGCACGGAAATTTAATGCCTTATCTCCAGTTATTCGTGTAAATAGTCGTCAGTTATTTTTTTTAGGTTAAGGAACTACAAAGAAATAGAGACAATGGTTGAAGAATTAAGCGCGGTATTGATTAAAAAATCAAGTGTAGCAGATACTAAAAACCTTGGAGAAGCAAAGAAATTATTATTAGAAGTATATAACATAGCCACTGAAGAACCATACAGCTTTTTATTTATTAACCTAATGAAAGTTGATGTTAATGATATGTTTTATAAACCATTTAATGCTAAATTAGTAATTGATTAAATTAATTTTTCCTTTTTGCTTTTGCTTTTGCTTTTGGTTTAGGTGTGTCATCATTATCTTTTTTCAACTTTTTGATTTCTTTCTTTAAATCATCAACTTCTTTCATAAGTTCTTGAACAGAAGACCCTAATACAACATTCATTTTAATATAATTCAATTTTAAATAATCATCATCGTTATCTTTCATTACCATTTTTGACCAGTGTTTAGGCATTTTTGAATTAGGCACATCCTGAGCTATAAATCCTATTTCTCGTTCTTCTTTACCTTTAAAATTAAATTCTTTCGGTTTAATGTATTTAACAATGTCATAACAAGTTTTACCACTTATTTCCCTTATGTTTTCTTTAAGTCTTTCGTCTGATGTTTCTGTAGCAGTTCCGTTTACATGTAAGCCAGTGCTTGATACTTCACATATATTAGCTCCATTTATTGATAAAAATATTAATCCGTCAGCATCTGGATTATCTGTTTTTACGCGCTCACTCGTTGAAACTGTTTGATGTGTAATATCTAAATGTCCTAATAAATTCACATTTGCTTCATTTATTGATATTTCAGGTATGCTCCCTACAGTTCCTACAATAAAATGAATTGCTCTATCAGTGTCTCCATTTCTAATATCTAAATCATAGTCACTACCATTTAAAGTTTCTTTAATACCTGATGAATGTTGAAAGAATAACTCGCCCCATACTCTTAAATTAGCTTCTGATGTAATATCACCAATACTATTGAATGTTAAATTATTTGTAACTGCTCTGTTTAATGTTATTCCGTTAGTGTCGGTTAATTGTAGTGCTATAGTTCCTGTTGTAGGATCAGTTGTTCTATCACTTTGAAGACTAAAATTAATTTGTTCTGTTGATATTACATTTAATGAATTACTAGCGTCCGCTCTTTGAAATATTCTTCCGTTTGTGCTTAATAATTGTTGTCCTAAAAATGTTGCGTCGTTTTCTACTCTTGTTTCATTATATACCACCTACTGTTAAATGATATGAAAAGTTATATTGTCTTCCTATTCCTACTGTTGCTGTTGTTTGACTTCCTATTCTTAAACGATAATCGCCTCCTGTGTCGTGTAATATCATCTCTGTTCCATTTGCTGGATTATTTGGGTTCATACATCTAAGTTGTCTGTTTCTGAATTCAAATACTCCTTGAGTGTCTCTAACTCTTAAATTGTAATTAGCATCTCCACTATTTCTAAACATATCTATTCCTGCTGTTGGTAATTGAATATCTCCTGTGTTATTTGTTAAATCTATTTTAGCATCCACTCTTAAATTTTGTCTAACAATAGCACTATCAACAACATCTTGTATAACCACCTGTTAATGTATTTGCTCCTGCATCTAGTAATAAGGAGTGTGATTTAACATATTGATTAGCATTGTTTTTTAAATTTAAAATCCTACCTGTATCACCACTCGAATTACAACAATCAATATTATCATTATAAAAAGTAATATAATTGTCAGTATTTCTAACCGTAAATGATAAATTACCATCTGCTGTATTTTCTACAACTAACCCACCTGTCGGCGCTTCTATTTTTCCTGACATTTTGTATCCTGCATTATTATTTGATAAATCTAATTGTTTTATTGCGTTATCTGATGTATTATTATTACAAAATATTTTATCACCTTGTAAAGTTATATAACTCGTTGCGTTTTTAAACTCTGCTAACACTTTATCTCCGCCTCCTGTTTGATTGCTAAATAATAATCCTGTAGTGGGTGATATATTTATCGTCTCGTTGTTTAATGTTAATCCACTATGAATAATAGTAGGAGCGCTACAATCAATAACTGGAAATGTCGAAAATCTATTAGTAAAATCTGATTTAGGAACTCGTAAATCTAACAAATTATCAATTTCTGTATCAGTGTAACCACTACTGTTACCTCCTGCATTTGATATTAATGTATCCACCTCACCTTTATTATAATAGTTTGTCCCCAATTGGGTGTTAGTCTGATAATTGGTAGATAAGTTTGTATCCATCTCAGTTTTATTGTAAAAATTACTGCTTAACTGGCTGTTAGGTTGAATTTTTTTTTATTAAATCAATAGTTATAGCATTAATATTATTAGATTTTGTAGGTTTTTCGTATTCAAGATTGCTATTTCGTCTGTATTAGCTGTTATTTGTGCGTTGTTTCCTAATTCTGCTTTTGTTGCATATACCTGTGATAAATCAGTTCCACGTATTACAATATTATCTGCTGTTAAAGTATTTGTATTATTTAATGTTAATGGCATTATTAAATTAATTTAGATAATTAATTTAACAATGTTTTATTAGTCGTAAACTTTTAAACCTAAATCCTTAATCTCTAGTATTTGTTCTGAAAGCATAGTTATATACAACCTATCAGGCATGTCATTAGCTGGAATTGTTGCTCCCGCTGGTTTAACTCTTAATAACATTTGTTGACCGG